ATCGGTCTATGATCAGTAAATTTTTATTGTTGTCTATCAATGAGATGTCTGTAACTGAGTTTCACCCCGATGAAGAAATAATGAAGGACGAAAGGCTCTCTCGACATTGTATGAGCCACAAAACGACTTATTTAGAAGATGATTTACGATGACTATTGATACCGATGGGAATGAACTTTGTGTACTTCAACTAGTTTAGTATAATTTGATTTACTTTTAGTTGCATTTGGTAAATAAGTTCATATTATCTTTGTTATAATTCTTAATGTTCGTGCCTGTCTCTTGCTAGAACTTGTTTTACCACTTTCGATGGTTGAATTCATGCTTAGGATCCGGTGGGGATCAACTTTAAATGAGGTGGAGAATTCCATTTATAAACGGAAAATGAGGAATGGAGTGAGGAGAGACTTCTCTCCGTTAGATAAATGGGACTGGGGACGAGGATTGTATTCTCCTCTTAGGGGCCAGCGTCCTTGCTGACACATAGCCTGGTGTCTGGCTCTAATATCAATCGTAATGGCTTAAGTTCACTGCTAGCAAATATTGTCCACTTTAACTAATTATATATCGCTATCAGTCTCACCGTTTTAAAACGCATATTTTAGGGATAAGTTTCCAAACCCTTATAAGAATACTTTGTTTCATTCTTCAACCAACTAAAAATCTCATAGTACAAATTCTTCGAATCAATTTCGATAACCAAAAATAATAGAAGGTAGTCAAGAACACGAAGAAACGAGTTTAATTAGCTTTGCAAGTTAAATACAAGTAGGAATTACAATCAAGAAATACAAGATAAAAGCACAACCAAGTAGAAAATTCTTCAAATTTGCAGATTCTATGCCAACTTTCAGCAGCTAAAGAATCATCAGAACCATCATCAACACTCCAAAACAACTCCAAATTGTTCTTCCACCTGCATTGCAAAACAAAACACATCAACCTTTGCACTTACTCAAGAACGATTGATATTGTCTAACTTTGAGTATAAGCTCTCATGGTTTTGTTTTGGGCTTCCTCAAAATGCCTCATACCACAACATAGAGCCTTTCCTGAGGCCTATTAAGCCCTCAAATAAAATACACCCTTTGTTCGACACTTGAGGTTTCTATTAACATAACTAAGTTAAGGACATGACTCTGATGCCATGTTAGGAATCACGACTCTCCACAATTGTATGATATTGTCCACTTCCCTAAAATGCCTCATTCCACAGCATAAAGCCTCCCCTGAGGCTTATCGAGCCCTCGAACAAAGTACACCCTTTGTTCGACACTTGAGGATTCTATGAATATAGCCAAGTTAAGGACATGACTTTGATGTCATGTTAGGAATCACGACTTTTCACAAATGATATGATATTGTCCACTTTGAGCATAATCTCTCATGGCTTTGCTTTGGGTTTCCCCAAAATGCCTCATACTACAATATAGAGTCTCCCCTGAGGCCTATCGAGCCCTCGAACAAAGTACACCCTTTGTTCGACACTTGAGGATTCTATTGACGTAGCTAAGTTAAAGACATGACTCTGATGTCAGGTTAGAAATCACGACTCTCCACAATGGTATGATATTATCTAGTTTGAGCATAAGCTCTCGTGGTTTTGCTTTCAGCTTCCCCAAAATGCCTCGTACCAATGAAGATGTATTCCTCGCTTATAAATCTATGATCATTCTCTAAATTAGCCAATGTGGGACTCCCTCCCAACAATCCTCAACCGAACATAACCATTAAAAACGAACTCAAAACTTACTACCACTAGTTGGATCTGAAAAATTGAAGTAGAACTGATGATCATGATACCACATAAAGCAATTGAATCCATACACTTCCCAATCTTTCTTACTCCCAATGGTTGTTCTAAACGCATCCAATTGCGCGTTCAAACACAGACCACAGTCACTCCCACTGATATCCCTCGTGCACTGAGCCATCCCATATCGCTTCCCTCTCACCCCACCTTCCAAAACAGCGATTTGAAACATCAAACTCTGATACGGAACAGAGGAAGCCAATCCACTCATTAGCGACTGACCATCAGAAACCAAAGATGGGTCATCATAATTCGTGTCATTTAAAACAGCCACAGAAGTTTGATCCAAAATACCCAAGAAATTATCAGTTGAATACCTAAGAAAACACCATCTAAACCAAATCACAACATCTCTGCTTTCTGGGCACTCAGACAGAGCAAAAACAGAGGAGTTTTTGATGCAGCTGCCGCAGTTGTTTGCAGAAATGTCGCCTCTGCATTGAACAAGACCAAAGATTTGGGTTGAACTCTCGCCCTTTGATGTGCTGTAGAAGCCATTATGAACAGGCCCATTCTCAGCTAGAGACTCCAAAAGGCTCTTTAAATTGGCCTTGAAATCGCTCTCGCCGGAGAAGCTGTCGGATTTTGAACACTGTTGGCTGCAGTTCTTGTTCATGTCGGCACGGCAGAAGAAAGAACAGAGTATTAATGACAGTGAAGGTGTAAAGAGGAAGAACATTGACACGAATTTGAATGCTCCCATTTGATTCGAAGTTTGAGCACCTGGTAAAGCGATAGAACACTCGACTAAAATAAAGTCGTGGACTTTTTTCTCCTTTTTTTAATTTTTTCTTTGTAAACAAAAAGTCAACTATGTTTCTATGATGAATGGATGGAGAATTAAATTAAAAGCAACTTGGATGAAAGTCAACTCCAATTTCATTCTAATGATAATGCCACTTGTAATAATTACAAATGGTTTGAGTTAGTTGAGATATGGTTAGTATTCGAAGAATATATTAATTATGGATTATATATTAGATATCTATATTTAATAGTATATTTTATTTTATTCTCAATATTTAGTTAGTTTATATTTTTTTTATTGACAGGTATTAGTTGTATTTTATTCTCAAAATTTAGTTAGTTTATATTTTTCTTTTGGTAGATATTAGTTGGTAGCTTATATCCTATTTAAACGTTGTGAATATCAATTATTTGTAGATATTAGTGGGTAGTTATATCATATTTAAACGTTGTGAATATCAATGAAGATTGAGCTTTCGATTCCAATTCTATTTCTCATTCTTAACTCTGCATTGTTTCTTGAGTAATAATATTTTCAGATCGATTCACAAGTAGTAGATATTGTGTCAGTCCTTTACATTTTTTTTTTCAGGAGACAAAGATCAGTAAACCCAAGTGCGTGATATTCATATTAGCTTGATAAGAACATAAATTTGGAGGGGTTAGTAGGAAGGTGAGATATCTGCCTTCCTACTTAACCCATTAACCCAATGTCGTTGTAACAATTCAAGTTCATCGTTAATAGATATTATCTTTTTAGGGTTTTTCCTTTCGAGATTCCCTTCAAGATTTTTAAAATATAGAGAGATTTCCACACCCAATAAGAATGTTTCGTTCTCCTCTTCAATCGATGTGGGGATCTCATAATACACCCCCTTCGAGACGCAGCATCTTCGCTGACACTCATTCATCTTTCCAATCGGTATGGGATCTCACAACCAATGAGTAGAAGGTACAGATAGATCTTGTATTTGAATTTATTGATTTGTGTTTCGATTTCACAATTCAAATAGAGACGTATGTAGTAGCTTGATCAAGCCGAATTTCAAACATTTTAGTTTAAAATTAAACTTATAATTACTAGTTTTTGTGAATTTTATTGGGTTTTATTATCTCATTTTTAAATATTATTTTTAAAAATTAAGTTAAGTTTTAAAAATTAACGAAAAAAAAAACAAAATAACTTTTAATAGATATAAATTTGATTATAGAAAAATGAACACAAACTTTTAAAATAAATAATTATTAAACAAAGCTTTTAATGGCCCAATGGTTAGGAATCACGACTCTTCAGAATAGTATGATATTGTTCATTGATATTCATAACGATCTAGATAGGATACAAGCTACCAACTAATACCCACAGATAAGAAAAAAATATAAATTAACTAAATCGATTTAAATAATAAAATATACTGTTAACCAAATTATAATAAAAAATATTAAGAATATATTAACTAATTCAAACTAACATTAAATATATTAGGAATAAAAATATATTTTTTAGGAGAAGAACCAATCAGATTTTTTTATTTAATTTTTAAATAAATACAATTATTCATTTGAAGCTTGATGGATAAACTTGAAAATATAATAATATAAACTGGTTTTTCTCATAATAATAATTATAAATATCAAAATCATATCTTATTTTTGATTATTTATAATGTTGAATGACATATTCAAATTTATTTTTATCCTTATGAAAAGCATTAACCTGAAAATAAATAAATTTTAAAAGCACAATATATATGTGTCATCTCTCCCACTTGCATCCCAACATGTAATATTGTTTTGTTTATTTATTTATTAAAATATTTTTTTTATTTGTCCCTTTTAAAATTAAATTAAATTAATAAAAATATCTTTCAATTTTATATTTAATTATCTTTCAATTTTATAAATATTTAAATTAATAAAAATATTTGGACACCTTCATTGAAAACTCACACATGTACCAATCAAATCATCGAGACATCTCGAGACAATAGGACGACATTACGATGCATGGGTTGTATTGTTGAGAACCGAAATGACAATGAGATGCGACGTTGTTGTGTCGCAACGATTGAACATGCATGCTCGAACAACGTATGTAGCCAAATATATATATTTATTTATTTATTTATTAATAAAGTAAGACCCTACAAGACGAAAAGACAAAAAGGGACACTGTAGTTATGTGTGAAGAATGATTGAACAAAAAAAAAAAAACATAAAAAGGAATATATTATTAATGAATAGAATATACTATAAATTAATTACAAAAAGGTGAATTAAATATTAAATAAATACATCGCAATCCAAGTGTATATTACTTCTGAGTTGGCTGAGCTGGAAAGAAATGTCCAGGCTGGACATACTCTACATTAGTCTAATTTTTGTTTTTTAATTTTATACCGGCTTTTGAAAAGATTAAGAACGCCTAAAATCGCTACGGAGAAGAAGATTTTTTTAGCATACTATCCCGAATGCCACTTGTTCTTATAAACACTTAATAATCGCTTCTGCTTCTTCTCATAGTTGAACACAGTCCAAGAAAATGAAGATTTCCCTACTTCCCTTCGCCCTTTTCGTCTTATCGCTCGCCATTAATGTTTCTTATGCCAAACAAATCAAACCCATCAATGATTTCACTCCGATTCATCAATTTCTCCACCAAACCCAACAATGGCTGACAACCCATCTCCCGAGTTCGACTCCCATTACAGTTGCTGGTGTGCTCTGTTTCGTAGCCGCTTCTATATCCAGCGCTGGTGGGATTGGCGGCGGCGGGCTTTATATTCCGATTTTAACCATTGTGGCTGGTTTTGACCTAAAAACAGCCTCGAGTTTCTCGGCTTTTATGGTCACTGGTGGGTCGATTGCGAATGTATTGAACAATTTCTGCTCCAAATCAGGGGGGAAGTGTTTGATTGATTTTGATATTGCGCTCTTGACTGAACCTTGCATGTTGTTAGGCGTTAGTATTGGGGTTATATGTAACCTTGCGTTTCCTGAATGGGTTACTACTGTTCTATTTGCCATTTTTCTTGTTTGGTCGACCTTTAAAACTTGTGTAAGTGGGATGGTGTATTGGAGAATGGAGACAGAGGTGCTGAGGAATAATGGGTGTAAATTGGAAGATGGATTAGGGAATGAAAATGAAGGCAAATTTCTTGAAGAGCCTCTGTTGAATACACAAGAAAAATGCAGATTCAGACTCCCTTTAATGAAGTTGGGAGCCTTGATTCTTGTTTGGTCTTCTTTCTATCTTATCTATCTTCTTCGTGGCAACCGCGATGGACAGGTATGGATTTTCCTATTTGATTCTGTGTCTGGTTAGATTGATTGTTCATTGTTAGGGAAAAATTATGTTTCAGAGAACTTGAGTTGCTTAAAAGGTATATGGAAGTGATCTTGATTTGACCTTGACTGCTGTGAAAAGTATAGAAAATGATCGGGATCTCACGTCTTTGTAAAGGTGTGGAAATCTCGAGCGACAACGAGGACGCTAGACCCTGAAAGGGTGGATTGTGAGATCACATATCTTTATAAGAGTGTTGAAACCTCGAGATGGGGGTGGATTGTAAGATCACACATTTTTATAAGGGTGTGGAAACCTCGAGTGCCAACGAGGATGCTAGGCCCTGAACGGGGTGGATTGTGAGATCACACATCTTTATAAGGGTGTGGAAACCTTGAAGGACGCTAGGCCCTGAACGGGGTGGATTGTGAGATCACACATCTTTACAAGGGTGTGGAAACCTCAAGTGTCAGCGAGGACGCTAGGCTCTGAAAGGGGTGGATTGTGAGATCACACATCTTTACAAGGGTGTGGAAACCTCAAGTGCCAACGAGGACGCTAGGCTCTGAAGGGGGTGGATTGTGAGATCACACATCTTTATAAGGGTGTGGAAACCTCGAGTGCTAGCAAGGATAGGCCCCATAGGGAGTGGATTGTGAGATCACACATCTTTTAAGAGTGTGGAAATCTCGAGTGCCAACGAGGACACTAGGCCCCGAACGGGGTGGATTGTTCAGTTTAGACTCAATTATGGAGCCGATAACTTGTTGATTCATGTCAAAGCTTTGGCTGTGTTTTTGATTGGGACAGTTTAGTCTAAAGCTGATAGTGCAACTTCCTTACTTTCTGGCTTGGACATAGTATGCCACCCCTTGGTCCCATGTACTCTCCCTTTGGTAGCTTTTTGTATGCGTTAGGGGTATAGCACTGTTTCGGTGCGGGCCACGATAGCAATTGCGGGCCACGATAGCAATACTAAATCTCTGCAATCAAATTTGACGCTTTTCATTTAGGACGAATTCAACACTGTGACTTTTTCTTTGTTCTTGCTAAGTTAATTCTGCATCATTGCAAATGAAAGGATAACAGAAGTGGGTATGTGACTGCTCCTTGTTTGTGCAGGGTCTTATACCGATCGAAACGTGCGGAACGGGTTACTGGATTATCTCTTCGCTCCAAGTTCCGGTAGCCATAGCTTTCACTCTCTGGATTCTGTACAAACAGAAGGCTCCTGAACCTGAAGATTCCCCCCAGAAGGTGCAAAGAATGACACTAGAACATATTTGCTTTTATTTCTGAGATCTTTTCATAAAGCAATCTTGACTGTTGTTACTTGTAAAGGAGTTGGAAGAAGCACGGCCTGCAGTTGAACCATCCAAGAAACTGATCTTCCCTGTAATGGCACTCTTAGCTGGGATTTTGGGCGGCATGTTTGGAATTGGCGGTGGCATGCTTATAAGTCCTTTCCTTCTTCAATTTGGAATAGCTCCTGAGGCAAGTCCTTGAGTTGCTTTGTTTCAATTTTAACCTTAATTCTCAAGATCCCACTTCAGTTGGAGAGGGGAACGAAACATTCCTTATTAGAGTGTGGAAACCTCTCCTTAACCGATGCATTTTAAAATCGAAGGATTATGGCGATACGTAATGGGTCAAAGCAGACAATGTTTGTTAGCGATGGGCTTGGGGCTGTTACAAATGGTATCAGAGCCAGACATCGAGCGGTGTGCCAACGAGGATGCTGGGCCCCTAAGGGGTAGATTGTTAGATCTCACATCGGTTGAAGAGGGGAACGAAACATTTCTTACAAGAGTGTTGAAACCTCTCCCTAGTATACGCGTTTTAAAACTGTGAGGCTAACGATGATACGCAACAAGTCGAAACAGACAATATTTGCTAGTAGTGAACTTGGAGCTGTTAGACACACTATCGAAAGATTATAGACTTATGGTACACCACCTTAAAAGTGTAGGACCAATTTTGTAATTTAACTCGTCATCCGCTCATTATGTTCGTATCTCCGAAATCTAATGCAGGTAACAGCTGCAACTTGCTCGTTCATGGTGTTCTTCACGGCTACAATGTCAGCTTGCCAGTATTTGCTGCTGGGAATGGAGCATACTGAAATCGCAGTCATTTACGCCATCGTCTGCTTCATCGCTTCCGTGATCGGATTGGTAGTGGTTCAGAAGGCGATTCGTGAGTATGGAAGGGCGTCTCTCATCATCTTCTCAGTTAGTTCAGTGATGGCTTTGAGTACTGTCACTATGACCACATTTGGTGGGCTTAATGTTTTGAGAGACTACACTGCTGGAAACAACATGGGATTTAGATCACCTTGTTAAAACACTTCTTTTTTAATGATGCTGTTTTCTTCTCAGTTTTAATTGGTTTGAGAGAATTAGTATGAACATAAAATAGGATAATATCGTTCAACTGATTCAAGATCATTCAAAATCTCATCTTTTTAACGAGAGGATTCTCCTCCTCATCCTCGATAGTGTCGAGTGTTGAGGATTGTTGAAGTCCTGTATTGGCTAGAGAATAACTCAATTTCATTGTCAATCCTTCAAATCTTATGCCGAACAATGGATATCTAAAGAAAAATCAGTCAACCCGAGCATAGTTCTATTAGTTGAAACTCTATAATCTTCTAAAGACGATTGTTTCTCTCAGAGCAAACTCGTCTTCTGCTGAAAAACAGTAAGGCTAAGAACTTAGGGAGTAGACTATATTGATTTTGATCAGCGGAATTTCTATAACAAAACATACATTCAAGCCAATTCAATCATGAAAATCTAACAGACAACAGAACCATGTCAGCCCTACAGAAAAACCAACATAGGAATCCTCGCATGTAAAAGCAAAGCCAGTGAAAATGGAAGAACTCTACCAAGTCAGGCGACTGGTGGCCGGAGAACGTGGTCTTGCGACGTATCCATAGTGCCCGGAGGCATAAACTTCCACATGGATACTCCTGGATATCCAATCACAGGTATGAGCTTCGCCCCAACAACATGATTTGGAGCAGAAAATGCAGGAGGGTGAGGCAGGAAACTTGGTTGAGTAATGAAGGTTTTCATTTTCTGTTTAAGGTTGTCTTTTGCTTCTTTTAGCCTCTGTTTCTCGTCTCGTAGTTCATTCTTTTCAGCCTGAACAAAGAAGAAATAGAATCAAACATCGATGGAAGATCAAACCGAACATCGACGAGTACAAAACCACATAATCTACCTTCATTTCATTGATCTTCTCCAGAAAATTCTCATTGGACTCCTCCAGCTTCTGAGCTTCATCTCTTAGCTGCAAGATCATTCGAACTGCATCACCCAAAATAACAGACTTGACAATTTTGGGAGACGTTCCATGATTGAGGATGGAATTCAACTCCAGAAACCTTTAATCAGCAAGCAAACACAAAATATGAGGCGGGGGAGGAGCGGAGCAGAGACGGGAATGGCGAAAAAGATGAATGTAATGAATCGAGATGCCTGTCATTTAGTCTATTTCTCCGCACTTTCTCTTTATGTGCTTTGGACAAAGATGCACTTGATCCAGGGCTCATCCTGTAAACAGTAAGATCACTACCATGCTATTGTAAGGGCATATCCAATATGCTAAAGTTGATAGCCACAGCATTAGAACATAACCGATGATGTTATTGTAAGGGCATATCCAATATGCTCAAATTCATAGCCACAGCATTAGAACATAAACAATGATATGCTAATCCTCCTCATAGTGCAGATACTCAACTTGGGAACTAATAATTGCTCACCTTTTCCTAGACCCAGATTCTTTTATATCGTTTAGCTTTCCATGTGCCTCATCAAAGTCTTCCCTTAAAACACTAACAACGGTACGAATGAGATCTTTTATAAAAAATGGCATCTCATCTGTCATATAAAGAAAATAAAACATATAAACATTCCACGACACTCCTCATGAATAGGCTCTAATGTTCGCATTGAGTCTAACCGTGAGATCCCAAGTCGGTTGGAGAGGAGAACAAAACATTTCTTATAAGGGTGTGGAAACCTCTCCCTAGTAGACATGTTTTAAAAACCTTGAGGAGAAGCTCAAGAGGGAAAGCCTAAAGAAGACAATATATGCTAGTGGTGGGCTTGAACGGGTAGAAATGGTATCAGAGCCATACACAGAGCGATGTGCCAGCGAGGACACTAGGCCCCCAAGGGGTGTGAATTGTGAGATCCCACGTCGGTTGGAGAGGGGAACGAAACATTCCTTATAAGGGTGTGGAAACCTTTCCCTAGCAGAGGCGTTTTAAAATCTTGTGGGGAAGTCTAAAAGGGAAAGCCCAAAGAGGACAATATTTGCTAGCGGTGGGCTTGTTACAAATGATATCAAAGCTATACACCAGGTGGTGTTCCAGCGCTGGGCCACAAGGGAGGTGGATTGTGAGATCCCATGTCAGTTGGAGAGGTTGGAGAGGGGAACAAAACATTCCTTATAAGGGTGTGGAAACGTCTCCCTAACAGACATGTTTTAAAAACCTTGAGAAGAAGCCCGAAAGAGAAAGCCTAAAGAGGACAATATCTGCTAACAATGGGCTTGGACGGTTACAAATGGTATCAGAGCCATACACCGGGTGTTGTGCCAGCGAGGACGCTAGCCCCCAAGGGGGTGGATTGTGAGATCCCGCATCGGTTGGAGAGAGAAACGAAACATTCTTTATAAGGATGTGGAAACCTCTCCCTAGCAAGCGGGTTTTTAAAAACCTTGAGGGGAAGTCCGAAAGGAAAAAACCAAAGAAGATAATATTTGCTAGTAGTGAGCTTGGGCAGTTACACTAACCCTTAGAAACCTACCTCTAATATCATGAACTACTAATCTAAAACAGAGAAGGAAAAAACATTAAAAAAAGAGTTTGAATTCAAGGCTTTTTACTTTGATACCATGTTAAAAATCTATAAGAACGAAGGCTAGATTGGAGTAGGCATCATAATCTGGTACAACTCCTTGCCAATGTAAGACGTTAGTGAATCAAATTTTGCTTAATGAAATAACTTCATAGTCCTATGTTCAATCATGTAATCTACATCCACAAGCAAACCCAGATGATAATCCACAACTCAACCAATTCATTTCAACGACATACAAATCCCAGGAACAATATCAAAAAACGAAACTCAGAAGAGATTCATGAGCTATTAGAACCTGAAGGAGGCAGTGAAATCGCGAGAGGACAAAGTGCAAACAGGAAGATCCAGTGAAGGTAGGTCACCGACGGGGACCGGAAAGTCCTCAATCAGAGCGTAATCAAATACCCAGTCGGTAATTTCAGGCGACTCCATCAGCGATCAATTGCCGGAACTGAAAATCCCTGAATTTCTGAGTACAGAACGCGAGAGATACAGCCGAGTTCCATGGCGAATGGTAGAATATATACATTGGGAAGGAAACGATGGGAAATTTGAAGAAATGGAAAAGGGAATATGAGAGAAAAATCGAAAGGGAAAATCGGATAAGAATCGCATACCGCAACTGTTCCACCGATGCTAACACCACAAGCAAAAATGGAGACTGCGAATGCGATTTGCAATATTTGTGATGCAGCCCAAGTTAAGGCCCACAGTCTCCTGTTCGCTTTCTGAATTTGGGTTTTGAACCGTCCAAATGAATTTGATATCCATTTTCACATCTAAGGGTACTCTCGCATCTAACAAAATGTCATCTTCAAAGGAACCAAAAATATTGAATTCCACCTAACAAATTGTCATCTTCACAGCTAAGTTCTCAAAAATATTGAATTCATTGCTCAAGAGGAATCCAGTAGTAATAATAATAAATACTGACAAACTCCTTCTGAATTCACCCACTTTTTGTACACCTAATTTCAAAAGCTTTATGCAAATTTATTCAAAAACTAGTCGGACTCTCAAACCTACCTTAAGCTATAATTCAATTTTTGAGTAACTATGCTATGATATATAATATTGATGTCTTGTTATAGATTATATGATGTTGCAAGACGAAAACCATGATAAGTATTATGCACACATAATTCACATGTGTTGTATGACACAAATGAAAGAAAGAACGAAATGATTCTTATTGTACGCTACGATTTTAAATATGTCATGTGCATTGAGATACTTTTCTATTATATTCGTACGAACATGTATCTTTGATAGTTGTTTTCGCTGTAATATCGCGCAGACCTTTTCCTCACCATGTCTTTCGTTGAGCTATTTTTGTTTATTTGTTTGTTTGTCTGTCCAGTAAACAGGAAGAGGGTATGCCTTCCATTAAGTGTTAGGTTATATCAAGCAGCTTTAAAGGGTGATTGGAGCACAGCCAAATCCATATTTGACACAGATTCATCAGCTATTACTAGGAAGATTACTCGTAGAGAGGGAACTGCTCTTCATATTGCTGCTGCTGCTGCTGGAAAGCATATATTGCTTTCTAGGCTTTCCCAAAATTTGCAACAAAGCTCTAATGCAGACATTAGCCCATGAAGTTGTGAAAAATCTATGGTATTATGTTGTCCACAGACTTACACCGTCAGTGCTACATGCGTTTATAAAACATCCCTCAAAGTTATTGCACGATGCTGCAAGAGTTGGAAATGTTAATCTAACACCTCGCGAGCGAGCTGTTTACAAAAGAACACCAACAACTACGAAAACAGGGCGAGGAATGGATGAGAAACACGGCAAACTCATGCATGCATGCAAGTGGCAACGCTACTTGCAACGGTAGTTTTCGCAGCAGCGTTCACAGTTCCAGGAGGCAACAACGACAAAGAAGGAATTCCTATATTTCGACAGAAATGGGCGTTTACGGTATTCGTAATCTCAGATGTTGCAGCTCTTGTGTTTTCTACAACTTCTATACTCATCTTTCTATCAATGTTGACATCCCGCTTTGCAGAAAATGATTCTTTAGTGTCGTTGCCGATCAAGTTACTGATTGGGGTACTGATGCTGTTCGTTTCTATAGCATGCATGGTAGTGGCATTCAGCACAGCCTTCATTATTGCTTATGATAAGACAATGGAGAAGAAGATTCCAATAGCCATTGCAGGGGCAGCGATCCTCCCAATACGGAGTTTTTGTTTGTGTCACTCTAGATGAATGTGTCTCACATTTGTTAATTTAGGAAATGGTCATGGGTTTATAATCCAAGAATACACTCTCCATTAGTGTGAGGCCTTTTAGGAAGCCCTGAGAGCTTATACTCAAAGTGGACAATATCATACCATTGTAGAGAGTCGTGTTCGTCTAACTATGGTATCAGAGTCATGCCCAAAGCAAAGCCACGAGAGCTTATACTCAAAGTGGAATATTATCATACCATTGTGGATAGTCGTGTTCGTCTAACATGGTCTCAGAGTCATGCCCAAAGCAAAGCCATGAGAGCTTAT